CTCGTTTGCAACCTGTATTAAAAAATGTTCTAGTAGAAATAAGAATCATCAAACTCTTAAAATTTATAAATGAAGACTGTGACTAAAGGATATAATAATAATAATAATAAATATTTTCTGGACATTTTCCAGATGTTAAAATTACTAATACATTTTGGCGTAACATATGGTCGATGCCTATCACTCACACAGAGGGTGAATGGATGCGAGATGTCGAAAGATCGTGTGAGTCAATCAATACAATGGAGCCAGTATCAATTTCAGATATTGATATAGCTTATGCAGTTCGTTCGCTACCGAATTGGAAGTCAGCGGGACCGGACGGACTGCATAACTTTTGGTTAAAGTGGCTCCGTAGCTCACATGTACGTTTGGCATCTCATTTTCAATCATGCCTAGAATCAGGTTCGCTTCCATCTTTTATGACTACAGGACTAACTCACCTAGTCTATAAATCTGGTAGTGCCACGGATCCCAAAAATTATAGGCCAATAACGTGTCTTCCGACGTTATATAAATTACTAACGTCCATTCTTAGAGTGAAGATAACATCTCATATTACGAACAACTCTATTATATCTTACTCTCAGAACGGATGTAGAGGTGGGGCACGTGGCACTAAAGAGCTCCTTATTATTGACATGACTATTAACCAACAAGTTCGCCGTAACCGAAAAGATTTGTCGACATGTTGGATAGATTATAAAAAGGCTTATGACTCTGTACCGCATACGTGGCTCTTGAGGGTGATGGAGTTGTACAAGATTGATACAACTCTATGCACTTTTATGGAGACATGTATGCGGCAATGGAGAACGGTTCTTTGCTATCCAGGATGTCGGCAATCTCAAGGCGATGGCGAATATATAATGATTAAGCGGGGTATATTTCAGGGTGACAGTTTAAGTCCATTGTGGTTTTGCTTAGCTTTAAATCCTCTCAGCACTATGTTGGAGTGTTCAGGGCTAGGCTATCGTTTGCAGAGAGATGGTAAGGTTATATCCCACCTCCTTTACATGGATGATTTAAAACTGTTTGCTTCCAGTAGTTCCATACTGATGAATTTACTAGAAATAACTAAAACCTTTAGTAAATGTATCAGAATGGAATTTGGTGTAGATAAGTGTGCCATCATGCATGTAAAAAGAGGCAGGGTTGTGGAGTCTGATAGGTTGGAACTCTCAGATTCCACGCACTTTACATGTCTCTCAGCTAACGAAACGTACAAATATCTGGGTATGTCACAGGCGCTAGGTGTAAATGAGTTGACTATGAAACAATCGTTACAGGAACGCTTCTTTAGCCGCCTGAAAAAAGTATTAAATAGTCTTTTATCAGGTGGTAATAAGGTGAGAGCCTATAATGATTGGGTCATACCAGTTCTAACTTACTCTTTTGGCATACTTAGATGGACTCAGACTGAACTAGATACCCTGGATAGAAGAGTTCGTACATTGCTTACTGCATACCGAATGCATCATCCACGTTCATCGGTGATGAGGTTATATATTCCACGAAAATGTGGTGGTCGTGGTTTTCTAAATGCCAAGACCCTCCACAATCGTGAGATATGTAATCTTAGGAATTACTTCCTTTCTGTTAATGTGGATATTCATAGGGATGTAGTAGCAGTTGATAACGGACTCCCTCCGCTTGGTCTAGGTAAAGAGAACTGGCGCAAATTTGCAGTACTCAACATTACTGATCGTAAGGAGATATGGAAGGGCAAAGAGCTACATGGACGTTTTTATCGAGCCTTGAACAGGCCTGAGGTGGATCAACTAGCGTCTGTATTCTGGCTTCGATTCGGTGACCTCTTCGGGGAAACTGAAGGTTTTGTCTTTGCAATTACTGATGAAGTTGTTATGACGAATAATTATCGGAAGTATATCCTGAAGGACGGCACAATAGACATTTGTCGGGCATGTCATTGTCCTGGTGAAAGCCTTAGACATATAATTTCCGGTTGTTCTCGTCTTGCCAACGGCGAGTACTTGCATAGACATAACCAAGTGGCCAGGATTGTTCATCAGCAACTTGCTCTTAAGTATAACCTTGTGACTGTAGAGTTACCGTACTACAAATATGTGCCCGACCCAGTTCTTGAAAATGGTCGTGCAACGTTGTACTGGGATCGCCCTATTATCACTGACAGGACTATTGTTGCCAATAAACCTGATATAGTGGTAATAGACCGATTGGAGCGCCGAGCAATGATTGTTGACATTACCATTCCACATGACGACAATCTCTTGAAAGCTGAAAAAGATAAACAAGTGAAATATTTGGATTTAGCCCACGAGATTGTCGACATGTGGGATGTTGATTCAGCAATCGTTGTACCGATAGTCATATCGGCCCATGGATTAGTTGCTAAGAGCCTCGACCAACATCTTCAGAGGCTCGCGTTAGGCAGTTGGATTAAGGGTCTGATGCAGAAAGCAGTTCTTCTCGATACGGCACGTATTGTGAGAAAGTTTCTGTCTCTGGAGTCCTAACCACCGATATCTTGGTCTCTGTACCCGATACCGATGGGATACTATTTTTTATATTTTTAAATGTATTTTTTTTTTGTTTTTGTATATAAATATATTTAAAAATGTAATTTATATGTATAAAGAATAAAATAAAGAAATAATAATAAAAAAACGCATATCTGACACACAACGCCATCTAGTTTCAAACTAAGCAGAGATTGTACCATAAAAGCTAGATTGGCTAATAGAATAATGTTTTTTGTCAATACATACATATATTATGTACATAGAAAACACCCAAACTTTGAAATAAATATTTGTAGAATAAACAAACATTTAATTCAATCCGGTAATCGAACCCGTGACCACTGCACCACCGAGTTAGTCCGTCAGAAGTCTGTCATGTACACAAATGATTCGTAGTTAACTGAGTCTCATTAGACAAAAAGCCTATCTGATTGTTTCTTTGATTACGTAAAATTCCAGTATCAGTCATCGGGTGAGGTCATCGTGAAGGAAGCAAAAATAATCATAACAATTGCCTGACTAACAGCTGATAATGGGTTTAATTTAATTGTAATGCTCAGTTGCGCAGTGTTTATTACAGCTAACAATAGGGACGCATTGCTGAGGTTTAATGATACTCTCGGTAGATTATATTATACACATTACTTGTGTTTATTGTTATTAATCATTGAGTTTGACCACTATTCCTAAAGTATATTATTAAATTTCGATGAATCCTACTAGGATAGGCCTACTATACCAACCCGCCTGGCCAGCGTGGTATAGTAGGCCAAAACCTCCTTTCTAAGAAGTCTTATGTCCAGCAGTGGACTGTTAAAGGCTGTTGACGATGATGATGATGATTAGTCTGAAGTTTTTTCGGAACACGTACGAATACAATATATTTAGAAGATAAAGTTTATGGTTAATGAGTCTGTGTACAATAAACGTATTATTTTAAGTGGTTTTATTTCATTATGAACTCTCTCTGGATCATCATCCTCCTAACCTTTTTCCCAAACTATGTTGGGGTCCGCTTTCAGCCTACTACGAATGCCACGAGACCGCCGCAACACAAATACTGTGCGATATCGAAGTTTTGAAGACAGACTGTTGTTGGACTCTTTAGGGCTCCAACTACTCGTAACGATTGCCACAGATGTTGGTATGCCAACCGAGACCGGCTTTATGTGCTCTCCGAGGGGTCTCAATGTGTTGGAAACGGACACCCATCTATAGACAGACCTGGCTAAGGTTGCTTAACTTTGAAATGTGCTAACCCACTCGGTTATCACTTAGCCATGAGCCACTCTATCTCTTTCTGCATATAAATCAATATCGATGTTTCTCAAGTGTCAAATATCCCAGGTGATATTTCTTTCGATAATACTCGTAAATTCCCCAGTAAACCCCATTGCTTTGGTTAATAAATAAAATTAATATCGAAGCGTTTCTCTAAGAACTACATGTTGTAATATGTATTATTTATTAAAAAATGGCTTATGTAAATAATATAAATACTCTGGGTATATGATATCCTATATATGCTATATTTTCCAGAAAATCTCATTTTTAATTTCTTTTGTGAAACTACAATTTTTTAGGTCTGCATCGCCCTATGGTTGACTGGGAGAAAATGCCTACGGCATTAAGTCCGCCTTTGTCACATTTGTGCATAAAGTGTAAATAAATAAATAATCTTAGGCTATTTGGTAGTTCTACTTCGCATTCACATTTTTTCGCTAACCATTTCACTCATTCGTAATAGCAAATGCTCTGTGTGCGTGTGTCCTGAAAGTTTCCTGACCTTCAGATATTTCGTGCCATTGTTTTTTATGATATTCAAATCACAAAATAAAATACACGTTTCTCTTGGAAGCATTTATTAAAATAAAACTAAGTGCCTTTGGTTTCAGTTGTATGCTAGTCATATAAATGCTTAAAAATGCTTTGTTAAGTAGATAAAGGCCTGTACACACTGGACTAGTTTATGCTACATTTGAACTTATTCTAGTTTCATATCAGCATTGTCTTGATTGATCAGTCTACAAAACATTTTAGATCTCAATTGGTTGGTATTTTCAGCCGTACAGTATAAAGTTAAAGAAGCCATAAAATGAATGTTATCTACTCTTGTAAAACGCTTGTAAACATCTGGATGTAAAGCGAAAACAGTCGCGATTTTTTTACAACGATTATTAATGGATCTACTCTTATGCATCTAATCTCAAATTTAAATTCACATTTGAGTTTCCTTATCAAAAAATCCAAAAGCATATTACATGTATAAATCGGGAATTAATCGAGATTTTATTTATAAAGTATGATCTTAAATATAACAGGGTACATATATATCATCGAAAGGTACAAACGAGCAGACCTGACTACCGCCGCCATTGTATCAGGAATGTATAGACAAATTTGCAAAAACAGTTCTATAAAACCTGTAATAACCCTGTAATGTGTGCGCATGGCCGGCGTAAGTGCAAATAAAATCTAATAGTAATATTTGGCGTTTTAGCATCGTCTGTAGCATCGTCGGCGACGAGCGAGGGCGCGAGGACACGGCTGACCTCCAGGGCTTGGTTGTACCTGAAAACAAATAGACCATTAATATTACATGACATTTCTTATAACAAAGGTTTGATAAGAAGTGGGACAGCATAGTTTTGGTATTGGTGCCGCCAGACAAGGAAAGGTCGTCGACCATAAAGAAGCGCGCGTGTATGCTCACACAGTCTTGATTTTTCTTAATACTCGTGAGTTGGGCAATACTTCCTCCACTAACCATAACTGTCCCGATACAGAATCGCTCCTAGAAGCCTGTGAACACCCCAGGAGGCTTCTGCGCTTCTGGAAGGAGTTTGGTTGGCTCACCTAGCTAACCAGTCCTAGACGCATATAGGACCACTCTTGAGTCTAAATGTGGTGTGGTGGTGGTGCCACAACCAATGCCAATATCATAACTGTTCGCATGTGATATTAAGAAAAAACAAACTAATAAAACAAAGTAAGAATATATGTACAATGGATTTTAGGAAAAAATGTAGATTTAATAAAAAAATCGCTAAAACAGAATAAAAGGAAATCACCACAACGACACACGCTTAAACGGTGGTGTAGGTAAACACAAATTTATTAAATGTGTTTGTTCTTGTGGGGCTATAAAGTACAAGCTGCCTGAATAACAAAGAAATATCTTCCTTTTGCTTGCTTAGTATTTACAAGTATCTCTTTCTCTGTCTTTATAGTACTGACAGTAATTTGACAACATGATTCAATCAACATTCATTTTACAAAAAAATGTCTGCGCACTGTTTATAACATGCATAGCACAGAATCTTTAAGATCTGTTTTTTCTGAACTGTGTATTTTTGTAAAATGTAACATGTCTTCTTTTAATTTTAAATAAAAACCTATCTAATATTACCAATATGATATACTACAAAAGCGCATACATTACAGCAATGAGAGTATTTAATAAACTCCCGCTAGAAATAAAGATATAAGATAGAAAAATGTTCAAGAACGTTCTAAAAAAATGGTTAATCAAGAGTGTGTTCTATATTTTGCAAGAGTATTTTCTCACAAAATAATTTGCATTCTTTTTAAATTAATTGTAATCTTCCATTTTCATTTATAGTGTACTGTTTAAATTCCAATGCCCGATTGGGTAGCTGTTGAAACTTTACCCACTACAAAACATCCATATATGTAACACAGTCTTTGTCTTTGACACATCTTAGACACGGCATCTGAACCCAAACTAGCTAGAACCAAATGGTATGGCAACCAAACTACTAATACTAAGAACCTAGACACAAAAGAGTTTATCGTGTTCTTCGTACAGTCTTGTCAAATTAACAATACAAAACTAAAATTATCCAAACTATAACTAGACATTTAAGTCGTGGTCAAACGCAGCAACGTACGAGCGGCTATGTACGAGATTCTTAATTGACGTTTGTGTTAAATTAGATTCTGAGATTCAACTTTCTTTTGAAAATAATGTTCTCTTAGCGTTTCACGTCTTTATACAAATAAATATTGTTGCTAATTCTGTTGTTCGAAAACTCTCTAAACTAAACCAAAAATCACTAAAAAATTGTTTAGTTCTGTCAAACAACGTTTCCTATTCTGAAAACGTAATATTTGACAGGACAAAAATTTTTTTTAGTGATTTTTTGTTTAGCACCTTTATCTTATCTTATTAGTCTTATCTTTAGTCTTTAGTAATAAAACTTTTATGTAAATTAATTATGAAGCAAGATTATGAAAGTATATTAGGTACAGTCGGGTCAGTCAAGACTTCCGAATTTTTACAGACAGTTCTACAGCCCCATACAGACATATTATCTTAAAGGTAGTCTGAAAGCCAATATACAGTTACATTTGCATGTCTTGTTTTTCACTGCTATTGTAAGATTTGAACCTTTTTCTTTTTGTTTTGTATAACTTTTCTAGCTCACCCACGCTCACATGTCCGCTGTTTCCATGACCACACGAGAACCTTGACCTGAACATCGAAAATGGCACCGCCACTCTCGACTCGTCATCTATTAATTCCGCGCGTTACTCCGCAGTCCGCACTTGACTTCTCTGACACCATTACCATCAGACAGTATGCGATGTTACATCATACTGTGATCATTCAATTGTTTCAGCTATTTTTAGAATCACTAAATCAAAATCGCCTTCGACACGAATTAATAAAATTATCGGTTTAAAGGTTGCCTAAATTAATGAATAGCACCTTCAATTGGTAATGTTCAGGTGCCTCTTGGTGGATGCGAAGGCGGAAGTGTTAAAAATAATTTGAGCGGAAGCAGAAACAGATGCGGAAGCGATTTTTACTTTCACTATTTTTTTAAATTTATGTAATATATATTTTGGCCATTAGTAGTTTTACGCGGATCTTATCAAAATTACCAGTCAAGGCCAATATCGAATTCCGCCAATTTTAAAATTTATTTGCTACAAGTAATGTTTTCTTGGAATTTACACAATTACACATTCCAACTCGTCTGGTCAGCGTGGTATAATAGGCCAAAACCTCCTTTCTATGGAGATACCTATGTCCAGCAGCCTATTTAAGGCTGTTGATGATGATGATAATAATGATGACACAGTCAAACCAAACAAGACTAAAGTATTCAAAAACATTACAGATACATAAAACAAATAAAAACACTGATACCAAAACGTATATCAAATTTTTGTAACATTATTTTAGGGGGCGAAACGAGCAGATAGATCACCCAGGGACACCTGAAACTTAAGAGTTACAAGAGCGTTGCCACCTTTTGAGTCCCTTCCAAAAACAGGGGGGAGAAAGGTTTGGGCTGCGGTAATCTCAGACACTCGGTGAAAAGCAAACCAAGGAACTGTTCAACACCGGTTTTCTGTGAGGCCGTGGTATCACTCATGGCTCTCCCAGGGCAAATTCTTGCAAAATTATTGTTCTCAGAAAATGCTGGTGCTAATGACCACGGCAATAATTAATAGTATACGATTGCTGTGCTGAGGTCTAGGGCTCGAATCCCTGGTGTTGTTTGTGTGACTTGCAAATATTTGTTTCGGAGTTTGGGTGTTTTATATTTAACAAGAAAATTTACAAGAAAAAGGTATTTAAGTATTCTATCAGTCAATCTAGCTTTCATAGTGCAAGTTTGAAACTAGATGGCGTTGTGTATCAGATGTCCGTCTGCATAAATATCTATATAAATATTTAAATCATTTCTATATGATTGAAATGGTTGTACAATGTTGTTTTTGATTATTCAGGACGATCATTTTCGAAGTCCTGGTGGAAAGGGGAGAGAGAGGGCAGAGAGAGGGGCTAAGACTGAGACATTCACATTTTTTACCTACTACCTATTTTTCTATTGAAATTGCCTAATATTAAAAATCTGTTACCAAAACTTTCTGACAATCTGCGAAAATGACATATCTGAAACCGGTACAATTTGTAAACATCACTTTAATTATATGTATTTTAGCTTGTAAACTATAACATCTAACGTAAATGAATAATTTTAAATTTTAGCGATTAATATCCTTCAAGGTATCCAGTATAATTACTTATAGATTTTTTTATATTTGACACTGACATATTTAGAATGTGTCTAATGAAATGTATTTTTTACAGGTATGGTGTGCTTCAAACGGGCCGGTCGTGGTCGGTATGTACTAAGTGTATTTAATAATAAATTACCAACTACGATTAAAGCATTTATGGGTAAAAGACTTGTCAATAGTGACTATTGTGAGTGACAGTTGGACGATGGTCGCCAGCATGCTATGGCTCCACCTATCCATTGTGTTTGTACAGTAAAAAATATATATTTAGATTTCAACTGAATACATTTTTGGAGGTTTAGAGTTGGTTTAGGAGAGTTGGTTTAGGAGTATGAGATCCACCGATAAAGCTGAGTGACCACGATTAGGAGAGCTGCCGCTTGTTGATTTTGGGCATCGTTGGGATCTTTATGTAATATAAACGTAGATATTCTTAAAAGAAACTTGACATTTATAGTGCATAAAAAATACGATCCTTTATTTACTTTGTACTTAGGCCAGTTTCCCTTAGATCGATGTGGCCCGCAGCGGCGGGCCGGCACCAGTCGGGGATTGCGGAAGTCACCTCAGTTCCCACGATCCCCGGCGTAGGTGAGAGACGGAACACCGGGGGGTTTTAGTCAGTAGGAGTCTGACAGACCCCTCCGCCCCGCCCCGTTAACAAAAAAAAAAAGTTTCCCTTAGATGGCGTTGAAAATTTTTTTAGCTATACCCTATAGCTAAAAATGTCGCTGATATCAATTAGTTACTTTTACTTTTTAGTATAGGCTGTTCGACGCAAAATAACTACATATTATAAAAAAAATATCGTGTTGACTCAGGACCTGATTTTAATACACCACACATAACAGGGACTATAGACCTCAGTATCTGATATAAATTTCAACTTGCTAGGTCCACCCGTTCCTGAGAAAATCGATGGTGACACACGGACAGACGGACAGACAGACAAGAAAGTGATCTTATAAGGGTTCCTTTTTTTACCTTTTGAGGCACGGAACCCTAAAAATGGCTGTTTTTCAGCGGGATGATTCGGGTAACAGTATTAGATTATCCAAAAAAGAAATCGCGATTTTCGCCTTTCATTTTCTCACTTGAGACTAGTAGAAAAACCGTTTAAGGCTTCAATTATAGCTTTTTATTCTGATTTTTTATTAGTTTCCGCACAATTAACGAAAAAATGACATTTTTTAAATTGTTGTAGAATGCTTTCATACCCATCGCAAATTGTGAGGAAACAACATTATTTTGCGATGAAAATTTATTCACAAAAAAACATTAGTAAGACTATAATTGACCATTAAATCCAAATAACAATAAATAAACAAAATATTGCAAAATCAAGTAGTGAAAGATACTTAGGCCTCATATAAAATCCAAAATATTTATATATATATATATATAATATTATTATATATATATATATAAATTTTTCTGTGCGGTAATCCCATCGGATACCACCATACCACGGTGATTATGTCGGACTCGAACCAACCAAAAACCGCACGCCCTCTCGGGTACCATTTGCCGGGGAACCAGGTTTACCCTAGGAAGGAAAACCCATATACCCCGACGTACCTCGTTCCATCTAAGGGCGTAAATGACCCCCTCCTGTGTGGGAACCGCCCTCGTCTAACCTAACCATTAAACAGACATTATTCTACATGTGACTGTTACACCCACTCGTGCTATGAACATGTACAGAGATAAGTTTTAGGCTATATTTTTCCCCTTCAATATATTATGCGCATATTTGTAAAGAAATAGTACCAAATATATTTACGTCTACTGCCTTAAAGTATTTTTAATAGGTGATCATTAGTTTCTCATCAAGCATCGTTAGAAGTATATTTTTTTAACATTAAAATAACGAACAGTCGGCGCAAATTGGGTTATTTGTATTTGCTATTATTTTTATATTTAATAACTTTAACTTTAAATATCGATGTTGTTAATCGTTTTTGGATAAAAAGTAGCCTATGTTTTATTCTAGACCGTAATATTATCTCTGTGCGATATTTCATTAAGATCCGCTTAACCATCATCATCCATCATCAGCCTATCGCAGTCCACTGCTGGACATAGGCCTCTCCCATTAATAAAACGTAACCTTAACCGTTAACCTTACCGTTCTGGTGGTAATCTGTAATACAGGGCTCCTAGTGCGGATTCCAGGTCTCCTACACAGAATACTTACTAATGTTTTACAAACTCTGTACTAATTTATTATTCATTAGGATTGTGAACTGTGTGTGAGAAAACAAAAAAATGTATTTGTAAAGTACTTTCGCGTTTATAATCTCAATGGGTTGTGCATCCAGTCTAAAGGCGACTGTATGGATGGCGTAGTGGTTTGTGGTAGTGGCGAGTGTGTGGAGTGTTGTGGGTCAGATTCCCACATGGGATTACACTTTGTGTGATCAACAAATCGTCGTTCTGGGTCTGGGTGTTGTCTGGCTTTGTGTGTGTTTTATGTGTGTTTGTAAAGTCTCCCGCGACACAGGATATATTTCTAATGCGGGAGTTGTCTTTTTTAACAAAGCAAAATGTAGACTTTTCTCTAATACTAACATAAGTTAACAAATCTGAATTTCTCCTCAAACTACTGTTTGGTAAATATAGAAAGTATCTCATTTCATAGAAAAGATTACTTAGTGGCTTGATATATTTCATTGCGGATGTACATTCTTAGGTCGTTGGTTCAATACCGGCTCGAAGAACCATACGTTAGGATTATTACTGACTAATAGCGATTTGACACAACCCTACAAAACAACCTTGTCGTTACGTGTTATATTTAATTTTCGTGGTAAATGAGTAGACAAAAACTCCGTTGATGAATTTTTGCTATAAAAAATATATTTTATAGTAATAAAGACAGATATAATAGTATCAATAATGACTACATGCATTAAATAAGCAGGACACCTATTACAACAAAAATGTAAAGTGGGAGACGCAAATGCGTTTTGTTTTGTTAGACACAAATTCTCGTGGTGCTTCATAAATTCAGTCATGATCAGAGCAGTAGACCGGACCAGTTCCTCTGTTACGTTAGATATTACGTAAGTGACTCAATGAAAAGTAAACAATCGTACACTTGAGTGCTAATTGAAAAGCCGTGACCGCCGCCACTGTTGACACTGATAAACTAGCTCTAACTATTATATATTATGTACACAAACATGTCCTGTCCCCTCGCACATATGTTACAAACAAGTTATAATGAAGACACGTTTTGATAGTATAAACACGATTTATTGTGTTTATTTGAGTTTCATTACCTATATCAGACTATCTGCTCAATCTTATAAATAAAATTCTCGTGTCACAATGTTCGTTCCCGTACATTTACGAAACGGCTTGACCGATTCTCATTAAATTTTGTGTGCACATCGGGTAGGTCTGAGAATCGGCCAACATCTATTTTTCATACCCCTAACAAATCCCTAATTTTTTTTTTGTTTTGCAATACAACAACGCAACGTTTGCCGGGTCAGCTAGTAATATTGTAAATACATCTGCTCAAACTGTTGTGTTTTTTATATAGTGACTTTTGTACCGACTTTAATAAGGAGGAGGTTATCAATTCGGATGTTTCCTATATTCTTTATGTATGTTCGGGAATAACTCTGTCACTTATAGACGAATTTGCAAAATATTTTTTTAGTTCGAAAGGGTTTTTATTCCGAAACTGTCCCATTTAATTTTTATATAGATCTGATGTTGAGATTCGGAGACAGACAACGGAACTGTTTAAAATGACAGACAAATGAACCGCGATTGCTGCTAGGGTTTTTAGTGCTCTTTGTTGTTAGTATTGTTTGAAGTCGGTTCAACTTTTTGAAAAGGATTTATCTTGTTTACGTGTGGAAACCCCTTCGGGCCGACTCAAACCACACAGTGTGTCACTTGTTATAGGGGATCCAGGAACTGCTGTTATTAAGACATCCGGATTATATGGTAAGTGACTACCGCAAACCAATGACACTTGAAACTCAAGAATTGCAAATGCGTTGCGGCCCTTTGCTTGCCGTAGAATAAGGGACATAGGGGGTTCAGTGCCAGACAACCTCACTCACCTGTGCAAAAAGCTACAAAAGAATGCCTTAACACCCATTATATCTTTGACACCGTGGTATCACTCCTGTGGAGCTGGCCCCCTTCAGTGTCAATTTACTACAGCGTGTTACATTTAAACTCGTAAAGTTGATTAAATGATAATGCAGATGAATCAATGTCATACGAACCAAAATAGTCCTAGTACGTTCCTGGTAGCCGGTGCCGCAGGACACAGAACACTTGGTCCACTCGCCCCATGGACTCACTTGACAGTCTCCATCACCCACTCCTGGTTCTATACCTGCGTATCATTCATTTGTTGTTAGACAGGTCAAAATTGGAAGACTCTACTTATTTTTACATACATATACCTACGTACAGAGCTATCGATACTCTGTTAACACAATACAATAAACAATATTATTACAATGGTCTTATCGCATGCGATTCTTTACATTTTAAATATGTATCTCTATAGGTAAATATAAAAATGTTTTGTTGGTTTGTGTACGTTTCAAAACCTCAAAAAGTTATTCACTGATTGAGCTCAAATTTTGACACGAAACGACAACATGGTGCAAAGACTGCTTTTATCTTTTTTTCGTCAGTTTTGTTCCTCATTCCTCATCTATGCAACCACAGCGAAGCGTGCGAGGGTGCAGCTAGTATAATATAAAAATGTTAAGTTGGTTTGTGTAAAAAACTCAAAAAGCGAAGCGAGTACATCACTCACCTGCGATTAGCTGACAATCAAGTGGTCATGGCTGAAACCATAGAAGACCATTGTGCTAAGGTCTTAGGCCTAAAGTTCGATAGTCTTAGCGGGGTCTCTGAACGAGTGGGTCTTAAAATGAACATGGATAAGACAAACGTCCATGTCGCGCCCACTCCAAAATCGGAGTGGAAAATAAGACTGCGCTCGAAGTTGTAGACGATTACGTATGCCTAGGACAGACTAGCCAACTTGGCTGGGCATAGTTCGGGAAGCTGCGTGACATTTTCTCATCCAAAATACCGCAGTGTCTCAAGACAAAAGCTTTACCAGTGTATGTTGCCAGGGATGACTTATGGGATAGAGACAGGGTCGCTCACAATGGGCGTTATAAGGAGACTCAAAGACATTAAAAAAGCAATAGAGAGGGCAATACTCGGAGTTTCTTTACGTGAACGAATCAGGAATGAGGAGATCCACAGACGAACCAAAGTCACTGACATTGCCCGGAAAATCGCTAAACTTAAGTGGTAGTGGGCGGGGCACATTGCTCGGAGAAAATATGGCTAATGGAGTATAAAATTTCTATAGTGAGGTACACGTACTGGAAGACGGAGCGTTGGTAGGCCTCCTACAAGATGGTCCGACGACCTAGTGAAAGGTCGCGGGAAGCTGTTGGATGTGGACAGCACAGGACCGGTTGTTGTGAAGAGCTTTGGGGGAGGCCTAAGTGAAACAGTGGACGTCTTTCGACTGAGATGATGATGATGATGATGATGATTATAATGTACTTACCATTTACATTATTAGAGACTGGCTGAACAGAGTTCACGGTGAGGCCTGGGTAGTTGCTGCTGATGGCTGCGTTCGGCAATTGATTCCCAGTGACTGCGCCTGGTAAACATCAAAGAAATATATTAAGTGTATTAATAGATTGTAAGGCTAGAGGTTAAAAACAAAAGATAAAAGGAGATGATGATTACCCATAGGGCCAGGCTTTTGGCCAGATTCATAAAATATATTACAGAGGTTTTGGGTTCGATTGCCACCCTAGATATGATGCGATCGTGCTAATTTGTTCTGCGTGTGGGTGTTTCTAAAATAAGTATGTATTTTAGATATATATGTCCCCGGATGACGGCAGTAGACTTGGCCCCTATTACGTCATATAATTATAGTCAGCAAAATATCTCGTTTCTGTCTACCCCTTTGGGGATAGCGACAAGAGTGTATGTGTATGTCTGTATATATTAGTGACCAGAGAATCTGCCACCGAAACTCGGCTTATTTTATTTTATTAATTGTCCATGTGTTTATTGGCCATCGTTGTATAAATATGTGACTATGTTTACAAATATATCGGTAACACGACACAACTTGATAATGTTTTGTTTGTAAATTTGCTAAAAAAACCGTGTGGTGACGGATTAAGAATACGGAATGTCACGACCCCTATTCATCCTGTGGGTGTCGTAAGAGACGACTAAGGGAGCAAACTACGTAGGACAGCACTGCAAAGAGAAGGAAAACTTGAAACAAACCCTATACCAACATGTCTGGCCAGCGTGGTATAGTAGGCCAAAACCTCCTTTCTAAGGAGAGGCCTATGTCCAGCAGTGGACTGTTATAGGCTGTTGATGATGATTGATGATGATTTTTATCTTAAATGCACCTGCTTCCTATTTTCTCTGCATCATCCAATGGTGGACCAGCAAAGAATGGCGTGGTCTGTGTTACATATAACGAATGTGCAAAAAGTGCAAGTAAATAAAAAAGCAAAGAAAGATTGTATATAATACTTTCGCATTTTTAGGGGAATATTATCATCGCGGGAGTTGGGTCGGTGTCCCGAGACTCGAAAAATCGATGACCGGAAATCCCAACTCCGCCAGGTCATCATAGGGGAGTGGAAGGAACGACTCGGGCAACCGAGCGCCGGGCACGCCGTCATCGCGGCGGTAAGACGGAGTTATGGAGGATTGGCTCGAGAGGCGTCACGGGACCCTCTCATACCGACTGACGCAGGTGATCACTGGGAAAGGATGTTTCGGGGATCACCTGTGTCTGATCCGCAAGGAGCCAACGCCTGAGTGCCACCACTGCGATGGCCAGACCGTGGACACGGCTCTCCACACGCTGGCAGAGTGCCCGGCGTGGGTTGAGTGGGCGGCCATCGGAGTAGGAGTTCTCTCGCTCGATAGCCTGATTGCGGCTATCATGCGGAGCGAGAGTGCGTGGAACTCTGCCGTCTCCTTGTGCGAGCAAGTAATGCTCGCGAAGGAGACGGCGGAGCGGGACCGGGAGAGCTTTAGGACTCTCCCGGCCCGCCAGGCCCGGGTACGGGCCAGGTACCGCAGGCGACTCAGGAGCCGGAGGTCGCAGAACGACCTCCGTCCTCCATAAGCGCAGGCCTGGGTGAGGCCATCTTTTTTTTTTTTTTTTTTTTTTTTTTTGGGACTAATCCCACCCACACGCCCACCACTGTAACTCCTGTACACCAGGATCCACAGCAGTGACCCACGAACACACCGAGTTAACTGTCTGTTAACTGTGTAAACTGTCTTGGAACCCGCAACGAAATTAATCAGAAGAAAATTGGAGGAGTTGGAAATACAGTAAATCCACTTCCCTCCCCAGCAAAGCGGGAGACAAAATGAAGTAAAATGGGCATACACCCTTTTAAACAGGGGAGCACCACGGCCACAAATATTACGGGTCCTACGTGAGCTATGTTTGATTTCTATAATATGTATGGCAGAATCGCCTAAACGCACGGAAATTCACCCTAGTTGACACAAGATCCCCATAGTATACCGCCCCAGATGTCACCTGCAAGCTATTCAGCATTATATTACGTTCATTATACCAAAGACTACATTCCCAGAGGATATGATGAGCAGACTGTTCATAGTGAGAGTTAGGTGTTGAGCATTGACACAATGGTGACTCGACTAATTTAAATGAATAAAGCTTGCTCTTAAAGTTACCATGACCCGTAAGAAATTGAGAGACACAGTGATCCACCTCAAGCCATATCCCCGACAACCGTTCGCGAACAGATGGAAAGAATTGGTAAAGATGGCGCCCCTTGGATGATTCATCCCAGCGTTGTTGCCATTCGTCTATGAGGTCATTATAGACATCGGGCTGCTGTTGAAGCAATCTTGTAATTTTACCGCGATCCCGCGCGCCCAAAAAATTGCATTCCATGTTTTGTTGTCTTGAATAGTACATGGCTGCACGTCTCTGCACCTCGAGATCGACCGGAAGCACTCCCGCCAACACCGGCAAAGCCTCAGTGCTAACCGTCCTATATGCCTTACACAAGAATATCAGTGCAAGTCGTTGGCCTTGTAACAGTTTGCGACGGACAGCGCCTACGGTCGCCCTATCGGCCCATACAGGTGCACCATAGCACATAGAACCTAAATAAGTAGCTCCGTATATGATCTTTAATGTATTAAATGATAGACCCCATGTCGCAGTTGATATCCTTGTCAATGCACAGAAACTCTTTTTAGACTTTTCATTAACTATTTTAATATGTTCGATAAATGAAAAGTTTCTTTCTAAAACTAATCCTAGATAACACACTGCGGTTTTATTTTTTACAGTAACATTGTCAAATCTAATGCTCGGCGGTGATTTGAGGTTACCTTTTAAAAGTAGCTGGAAGGTTTTGTTAGGTGCAAAAGTTAAGCGATTACGTTCACCCCATTGAGATATCAAGTTCAAACATCTATTGGCTAATCTCTCAAGCCCCGCCCTAGTATCAGATTCCACCAGTAATAAGCCGTCATCAGCATACGCGTTCAGAGTACATCCGGATGGTATTGGTATCGCAAGAAAATCGTCGAAGCCGATATTCAACAAGTATGGACCTAGCACCGATCCCTGAGGACATCCCATTGTAAGCGCCTTCGACACAGAATGATGACCAAGTCTTAGTTTAGTTGTACCTTGTGAAAAGTACGAAGAGATAAGGGAATAAATATTTTTAAAGCACCCCCGTGATTTTAATTTCAGCAACAGCATGGGCCACCATGCGTTGTCGAAGGCGCCAGATATATCTAAGAAAATAGCCAGCACGTATTGAAATTTTGACCCTGTGACAAGCTTTCTAACCGATATAACAGCGTCAGTTGTCGATTTACCCAACGTAAATCCAAATTGTCTGTCTGTGAGGCCATCTGTCACCCTAGCAGAAGCAGGCCGGGGTGGCGGCGAGCGCGTTGCGAAGCGCGCTCGCTTCCAGGGAGCACAGGGAACATGGGGTTCCCACACGGGGGGGGTCGTCTACTCGTCTGTAGATGACCCGAGGTATGTCGGGGCACCAGGGACTTCCTTTCTAGGGTATACCTGGTTCCCCGGCTATTAGTACCCGAGACGGCGTGCGGTTTTAGTCGGTTCGAGTCCGACATGCCACCGACAGGTGGTATCCGAGGGGATTTCCGCACGGGAAAAAAAAAGGGGAATATCATCATATCGTCATCAAAATAAAGCTTTAGTTTTGTTTTGTTCCTGGCAGCGTTAGTTTTGTTTTATTCCTGGCAGCGTTAGTTTTGTTTACATCATTTACCAGTCTAAGTCAATTTATGTTGATCGTCTACGTCCCCATTGTTATACATAACTGCATCCATTACAATAATTCCTTTATAGGTTATAAACAACGTGTCTACATAATAACGTATTTTCGGATATTACACGCTTTATATTAGCTTCACTTGTATGTGTACTTAATCAAACTTAATCAAATTTACACTATTCTTAATCCAAATTTATTAAACTTTATTTTCTGTTTTTTAGTTGGATTTTCTATAAAAGCGTGTTTTTAATTTTAGTTTTTTTAAACTATTGTTTATTACATAATATAAGCTAATTTGGTTCTTAACCTAGTGGAAGGAAGAGCATTAATATCGTAATCAATCCTAAGTGCATATCTAGATTTTAATTATAGAAGTAAATTAGACCAAAGAAATCCAATTTTGACCCCATTAGCTCTAGTATAACCTTGGAGTATATCCTTGGAGTTTTTCAGAAACTTTAAAACTGCTACTCTAGAGATACTATTCTAGAAATACTTGGACGAATTTGCCCAAAATCTGTTACTATGCGTGATCTTCTCATTAGCAATGGGTGGATACTGTAGGCAACACACACGTAGATAACACAATACTAAAGAACCTAGGACACAAAAAAGAAACAGTATAAAGCCCAAACAAGGTAAATATGCTGTAATTTTCTGAAGAGTTGGCTATCCCGCAGTATACTTGATGCAGCAGTAAGTTCCAGGTTACCATGTCGTGAAATCCCATCAAAGTAACAGTATACCAAATTTCATATCTATTGGACCTGTGGATTTTAGTGAGATCCCTTCATCTCGGTAGTGAGCTGATGATCTTCAAATTCTATAGTTAAGAACCATCAGCTTTCTAACAAAAAAGTCCGCATCGAAATCGGTCCATCCGTTCGAGACATATAATGCCACAGACAGACAGATACAAAGGTTATAATATATATATAACACCCACCGCTCGGAGGTTAAAAATGTATGATTTTTATTGACTCGTTCTCGGCTGCGGAATAAGGCCGCCAGAGCTTTATGGCAAGGGGTGATAAGGTACATACACAATGGATACCAGTGGTAGCAGTCACAACGATTAATTTACAACGGTTCGCATCACTACTTGAAAAATATCCGTTTTTTAATCGAATCTAGGCGAGCTTACTTTGGTATTCAAATCAACAAATCGATAAAAAATCTAAATGTTTTATTTAAACTTCCTAGAATGACATAATCGGCAGTTTCGGCCAAACTACACGTGTTTGACATTGACAAAACAACAAAAAACCAAAATCATTTATTTTTATGGATCATAAACAGACGCGGAAAA